GTGGTTTTGCTAAGTCTACACATTTAGGGATAAAACGTCTGTAAAAGTTGATCATCCCAAGGAAACGTCGTAGTTTCTTGAATGAATCAGGCAAAGGATAATTTTTGATAGCTTGTGTTTCCTCAGGAACTGGTTTAATGCCTTGCTTATCAAGTACGTGACCTAAAAAGGTGAGGGATTGTTTTCCGAACTCACATTTGTCAGGATTGACCGCTAACCCATACTCGTTTAGCTTCTCAAAAAGCATTTTCAGATGAGTTAGATGTTAATTTTCATCTTTGCTTGCTATAAGTAGGTCATCTATGTAAGCATACACAAACGGTAAGCCCCGTACCACTTGGTCAATAAAACGCTGGAAACTTTGTGCAGCATTCCTTAATCCGAAAGGCATACGGACGAATTCGTATAGTCCAAAGGGGGTAATAATAATAATAATATATTTCTGCATGTGCAGGTACACACCGTTTTTACAGGCATGATCTATAAATTGCAATATTTGTTGGTTCGCAAAATGCTTCCCAACTTATTAAGTTTATAGTTGTTATAAAGTGAGATCGTAGAGCGCTTGCTGTAAACTATGACCTTGAGAGGACGCGTACGTTAAGTTTGCTCCAAACGTCAGAAGTTTCATAGTTGTGCTCTCAGAGCAAGATTCTGAAGGAGAAAAAAAAGAAACAGAGGAGCAGCAAGGCACTTGGATATGAACGCCAAAGGTTGCTTAACATTGTGTAGTAGAACGGACAGAGGTATAATAAATTAGAATAAATTCATATTATGTCTTGTTAGAGTGAAGTGAAGTCAGAGGCTCCATATTAGAGAATGTACTAATGTTTTAGGAACATCGTCCGGATGAATTGGAATGTGATGGTAAGCACGGACGAGATCAATTTTTGAAAAGATCGATACGTCAGATAGGCTATGAGTGAAGTCATGCAGATGTGGGAGAGGATATCTATCTGGTATGGTCCGGCTGTTGAGAGCTCCATTGTCACCGCACGGTCTAACTTCGAAAGAGTTTTTCTTAGGTACCATATAGAGCGGTGATGCCCACGGACTATCGGAGGGGCGTATGATGCCCAACTCAATCATTTTGTTGAATTCGTTCTTTGCGATAGCCAGAGGAGAGTTATCAAGGCGTCTTGGACGTGCGAACACTGGTGGACCCTCTGTCTTTATGTGGTGTACGACGGTATGCGTCTGTTTGTCGTGTTTGAATCTCGGTCGTAATAAATCTGGAAACTGATTAAGTAAATTGACGTATTTGTCGTTCTCATGATGAGGTTTAACTAATAAATGTATGTAAGCCTCATTTGATATAATCCCTCTAATTTCCTTACTCTGTTCGGCAAGGACAAGTTTCCTATTTCTGACGTCTACCAGTATTTTGTGGAATTGCAGAAAATCAATGCCGATTATAGGAACGAGGACGTCCGCTATGATGAAACTTCAGGAAAACTTAGACTTAGGACCGAAATTTAATTGTAACCGCCTTCTGCCGTACGTCTTGATGTCAGACCTGTTTGCAGCTTGTAGTTTTAGTTTGGGGTCAGGTGTGTTTTTCTCGAGTATAGTAGGTGGTACTACACTAACCTCTGCCCCAGTGTCGACTAAAAACTGTGTGCCGGTTCTTTTGTCTGTAACATATAATAGACGACTGTCTTGAGAGTTGTGGTCTGTGAGTGCAGTCGTCATTAACCTACAGTCTTGACGTTCCTTTTTCTGTGTGCTTTCAAAGTTACAAGGCGGAGTACATTTTCTAGCTTGTTTGCCATATGTTCTATGGTACGAACAAATGTTGTGTCTAGTAGTGCTTGGACTACGTCGTCTACAGCTTGTGGATGTTCCTCTACGCTTGCTGTGGAAGGCATTCAATAATTGGATCTGAGCTATCTGTTTCGTAAGGGTATCAACTGATCGTCGTAACTCGGCGATCTCGTCAGCTGAGCTTGATTGGATTTGAGATACAAGGTGAGTCTTGGGCCGTTCGTAAATTCTGTCGGCTATGTCTGCTAGTCTATCAAAATCAACGTCTTCGTCTCCAATTGCTAGTATCTGTTGAATGTTTTGAGGGAGACGTCTGAGCCACAATTGATATAGTAGACGTTTGTCTACAGTACGATTTCCTAATAAGTTTGTCATGTGGCGTTTTAACTGTGACGGTGTATTGTCACCTAGCTCCACGTTGGCTAAAAGTTGATCAATTGTCTGTTGGTCGGTGAGAGATGTGACACGAATGACCTCTCTTTTTAAACAATCGAATGGTGAGTCAGGATCCGTCTTAAAAATGACATCCGGCACTTGTTCAATGACGTCATCTGGCAGCAGAGAATTTGCGTAACTGAATTTTATACTCTGGTTTGTGATTTTGTTTGCTACAAAAAAGCTTTCTAAGCGAGCAAACCAGAGTTCAGCCTTTCGTGGATTAAAAATATGTAAAGGTACAGAGATGGCACCCACGGAAATAGATTTAGATGAAAGGCTTAGCGAGTTATCAAGTGCCATGATACGGAAAAGCAATAGTAATAATAAGCCGAGGATTGTAATATACAATATGAAGAGAAATCAAAAATAACAACGAGAAATATATATAAGACTCACCAAAAAGAAAAACTGTCACTTTTGATTTAAATATGCGAATATACAGCAATAATTCCAAAGGAACAATGTTATGGATGGATTTATTATGACTGATAATGAATTGTTAATAATTGTAATAGTAATTCCACTGTGAAGTTCTTTAAGATACGCTTGGAGAGCATGCAGCAGAATTCGTAGAGGAATGGTGTGTGTTCAAAAAGCGGCGGCTAACCAAAATATTGAGGATGATGTCCTCAATATCTGACTCCAAATAATAATATCCCGTAACTGAGTATTTTAGGTAGGCTTAATCTCCTAGTAGAATTGCAAATTTACTCGAGATTATTAAAAAGCCTGAACACCAGTTGTAGAGATAGTTTATTGATAATGAATAATAATAATCCACAAGCGTACGGTGAGCAAGCACACGAAGAAACAGAGTATGAGTAATTGAGTCTGTTAAAAATCCATATATATTTGAGAGTTAATCGGGTGTGGATAGATTATCGATTATCTGCACATTGAAACCAATAGGAAGATAGCTTAAGAGTTAATGTACAGACATACATTCGATCATACACACCGAAATTAACATAGTGAATTGAGTCTGAGTTACAATGACTAGATAGATGATACAGTAGCCAAATGGGCTTGCCACAAACTCCACCCTTACTCAAAACAATGGAAAAATTGTTAATACTTCCACTTCAGCCTGCGATAAAAGAGCATATTGATCCATATCAGTTTACTTACAGACGCAAAAGAAGCACTTTAGATGCTGTTGCTGTTCTTCATCACAATATAGTGTTCAACTTAGAAAACAGCAAGAAGTATGTTGGATGCGCCTTTCCGGACAATACTTTTCTTTTTGATTCTATACCAGGACAACGTTTAATTGACAAGTTAATCAGCTTCAACACTGACAGCTGGATAACCAACTGGCTATGTTCCTACCTCTCTGGAAGGGAGCAGTACGCTGAATTTGGAGGAAAGTGTTCAGAGTCTCTTTTGTCTCATGAAGGTACACCACAAGGAGCTGTTCTTCCACCTCTTCTTTTCTCTTTTTTTTTGTATAATCTGCCATCTTCAACAGAACACACTTTTGTGAAAAATAAGGATGATCTCATTGTATGTATGGCTATCTCTTCCTCATTACATCCTATAGAAATGAATGAGTTTTTGCCTCGTATTGATTGTTGGTCTGTTGGTAATGGTCTCATACTTAATCCGTCTAAATTTCAAGCTGTTAGTTTTAGCATGAGACATGAACTGCATCTAAACACCATTTTGAGATCCTATAATGCTTGTGCCATTGGAGACTCTTTGATAAACACCGTGTCGAAGGTCGATTATCTTGATGTCACCTTTCCCTCTGATCTCTCTTGGTCTTCCCATGTTTTATTGTTATCTAAGAAGGTTTTCCGTCTGACTTACTACATAAAGAGATTGCATGCTCTTGGGATTACTCGTCATTGACTCTCACAATTTGTCAATTATTGCTTATTACCTATTATTCTTTACTGTCCTCCATTATTCTTTCCCGGGGCTTTTGAGAAAAGACTTTGCTGTATTGCGGAGAGTGCTGAAGGCAGTTAGCAAGATGTGTGGTGAATCTTTCAAGATCATAATTAATATGGTTGTGGATAGACATCTAAAGTCATGCAAACTCCTGGTAGGTGTTATCTTATCAGATACTAGCCATCCCCTTCACTCTTATCTTTCTCCTTGTGTATCTTCTGGTAGAACGAGATGTAATTACATTAAAATCCATGCACGCAAGCAAAGGTACAAAAGTCCTATAATACCTTACCTAGTAAATATACTGTGTGACGAACAGGTTGTTAGAGTAAACCTAGTTAATAACCTGCATTCTTAACACTTCTCTTATTTGAAATGTTGTACAGTTTTTCGATTGTTATTTTAAACCTTTTTTCTGTTTTCGTATTTAATACTTCTTTGAGTAACTTGTTGAAATACCCTGTGCTGAGATTTCTTTAATGTACCAAAATATAATATTGAATAAAGTCATTAACAGTTATAATAATAATAATAATCATAGTAATAATAATTAAGTTGACCCGAGTCTCAGCTTTTCAGGATAGCTCATCAACGAATCTACGCTCTGGAATAACTTGAAGGCTTACGTGATCGCTTGAACAATATCAAATAATCTACACGTGCATGGTCCATAAGTGTTGTCTTCTATACGGTAAGGCAAGGTATTGTCCCTAAGGAAAATTTCGGAAATCTGAATTCTGTGGGTCTCCTAACTTTCAGACAACGAAAAAATACCTAGTGTCCATTATCGATTAAAATAGCGAAATACGTTATCTGGAACAACAGAAATCAAAGAAATAGCAGTTGCTGACCAAGGTGATTGTTTGTTTAATCATTTCAAGGCATGGGTTTTTTTCACCTTGCAAACCTGGTAAACAGCGGCAATATCATTTTCCTTGCTACATCCTGTGGAAATGGGAACGATTGGCACCGATGAAAAGCAACCGTTTCTGAATGAGAAAGAAAATTCGAATCATGTAAAAAGAAACATTGATTCCTGGTATAAGCGGCCAGTTTGGAACAGTGACGAGAAAACCAAGTATATGATGGGGCGCAGTTTATGTGGATGGAGTTTGTTGGTTTCCTATTGATTTAGCTGTTACTTTCTAGTTAAGTTTTGGTTGCACTATCTTATTCTGTACATATGTTTGTTAATTATAATGATGGGAATGTTAATAATAATAACTCAGCTTATCATCAGCAATGATCAACCTTACATAACTGGAATGGACAGTCCCCTTGCACTTTCACCAGGTTAGTTTTTACGTATTATAATTCCTGTTATTTTTTATTGCCTTTGTGTTTATAGAACTCTTTATACGGACCTTTCATACATATATTGTGATCTAAACTTCTTGGAGTTTTATATGCGTTTAATTTGTTATAAGTCATAGTGAGATTCCCTGGATTTTTTCTAAGATATTGAATATATCTTTTAGATTTTAAGAGGACAGAGGTCAAGTGTACAATATAAAAGACAACTTAACTTATGTCAAATGTACCTGACACTTATCTACATAAATGCCTACTGTGAGCAACTCTTTTCTAACTCAGTTACATGTATTGCGGACTTTTTGTTGAGATCAGGTGGTTTTACGTCACCACCACAGATCTCATCCATGAATACTTCACTAAGTAATGGATTTACTAGGCGACCTAGGATTGGCCACAACTGTTGGTTAGAGTTTTTGATCCAAGACAGGCCGTCGTGGTTTAGTTGGAGCTTCAGTTCGATGCGTAGCTAGTTTTTAGATATTCTCTGCAAACTTGTTTTCAATCCAATGTAGTAGTAGACTACTATTTCCAGAAACTTTGGCTCTACATTATGGCAGCAACGTAGTACACTTGTAGTGGACACGAGGGTTTCTGCAGTATACACCCGAAAAAGCTCCTAAGTCCCGTTTACCTTCTTCACCGTAATGACACCTTTCATCATCTCAATTACGACTCTGTCTACCTGTTTCTTCATTGATAGATGAACAGGTGGAGACATTTTGGAATTTGCATCATCTATTATTTGTCAATAAAGAAACCTAGACTATACGGTTGGCCGTACTCTGTGCACACTGGAGGTAACTACATGTGGCAGTGGATGATTGTGGGACAATACTGCTGCACCGGTGTGCAGCTACGGCGTTTCCCACTTCTTTTACACTGAATGAACTGTAATTTTCATAGTCAGTGGTCGTTAAGTGATACTCCTAAAACTTAGATCTGAATTCTCTCAACCTTCTGTAAAAGGTTGATTTTAGATAGCCCATCAACTTTACCACTCTACTGGCTGTAACTCATCTTTCATCACTTTCGTTAAGCCCTACATTATTAGTCTAAAAGAAGCGATTAGCTGTAATCAGACTGTATATAAACATGAATCGAAGTTGTGGACCGTACAAATAACTCACATTCTTGCCGTGAGAATTTTTAGAGAGTGGTGAAAAGCCGACGATTGATTGTCTCGTGTCCGTTTGACATACTAAAACAAAACACTAACATCGACAGTTTAATCGTAATCAAAGTTTATGGTAACACTACAAATCATATTAGTTGTGATTTCATCTTAAAAAGGTTTAAAAAATGCGCTTTTTATTAAATGTCTGTCCGGAAAACTGCGCAACACTGATTTCGGGGTTTTTCCCAAAAATTTCCCAAAACTTTGAGGAAGGTCATTTGACTTTGGGGATTTTCTCAAAATTGGTAGATTGTGTTCACCTTTGAAAAGGGGATGAAATTAAACGTGTATACATCACTGTTATGTAAATTGATGTAACTCTGTGAAAACTGTAAGTGATGAAAAAATGTGAGTAGACCTGGGATGTGTTGATTATTGTTCAAAATGTGACACGGTGGGTTTTGGATAATTTATTTCAAAGCAGGGAAAACATTGAACTATTATCAAAACATAGGGGTATACTAGATTTACTGGGCGATCTGCAGGGTATGACATAGAAATGACGTTTCAAACCATTTTATGTTGACTTCCACATTCAGAAAGTTTTACACAGGTCCTTGAAATATGAATGAATACATATTAAATAAAAATGAACGTTCAAAAAGTTTGAACAATAAATGAACATATATCCCTCGGTATATCCAGCCACCGATCGCGTTTATGTAAAGAATAGTGCGTTAATGACCGAAGTAATGTCATACTTTGAAATCTTATTAGTTTCAATCATTGTGGTGGAAAGAATTTGTTTTCATCATTTGAGTGAGGAATATTCCAAGTTATCTTATCGCCCTTATTTAACCTAGAACAAAAGACTTAGTTTTATGAAAATTTATTGATTGTCCAATGATTAAATATGAATATAATTAATCAACAATTTGATGTATGTATACGATATCCTATTTCAACGGATAAATCTATTTCAACTAACAAATATAGCTAGATCACTGAGTTACATATTTTCTTATTCCCAACTATTTCTTCTACATCTAAACTAATAAAACTAATTTAATTTGTATAATGAAAGTTGAGAGTGGTTAAATGTGTTTATTTGTTGGTAGCTTTGTAACTGAAATCAAAACAGATGATGCGTAAAACTTTAGTTGAACTGTAAATTCTGAATTATTAGGGATAATGGATATGTTGTGACAGAAATATCGCACTATTATGTTACCGTCATTTACTAGATGAGAATAAGCATATTTTCTATATGAAGTATTTATTATTAGTATCCTGGTTGTATGTTGACTTGAGACCAGAAAGATGGTAGTTGGGGATGTAATAATAAATGCTTAGAGAATTGTCTAATAGAAAAATAGCGATAATGGTGCTCATATCCGTACAATTTCATCTTCTCACTAAGTAAACTGCTTGTTAAACATTACCATGTGTTTAATAAGTGTTTTTTGGTATCTAGTCGGTTTTACAATTCGATAGTATTTTTCAAAAACACAAGGTTAGCTAATTCACTGCCGATTTTAATAATTATAGTCACGGATAATGCAGCTAAAAACATATATTTCCAATCTATGAGTAAAAAGTTCACTTTTTCGATAAAAATCGAATGTTGTTCGTCATTCGATACATACTGTTTATAATGAAATAGTCGTTATCAATAAACTTCAGTTCAGAGAAATGACAAACATCAAGGTTTGGCACAGTGTTATTACGTGCAAATAATATAAGATTGTTTATCGAATAAGGTTTAATGGATGTGTCATATGATTTGCCTTACTTATTTAAAGCCTTGTGGCTCGGTCGTTTTGCCCTTTGAACATAATTTCATCATAAGCCAGTGGTTACAAAATCACTTCATTCAAAACACTAGATTTCTCATTATCTTTCGAATTCTGCGAAACATGACCCTTAAGAGTAGAAGACACCCGTAAGCTACTAGAATTTGACCACAGATGCCTTAAAAATATTGCTGGCATCTGCTGGGATCACCGGGTAAGTAATAGTGAGGTTAGACGCAGGGTATTAGGGAATGATGGTAAATCAGTTGATGAGGTTATGAATCTTCATCGACTGAGATGGTTGGGCCACGTATTACGTATGCCTGAACACCGATTACCACGACGTGCAATGCTAACCGGGGTAGGGGATGGTTGGAAAAAAGTTAGGGGCGGCCAAACCAAAACGTGGCATCAGTGCCTGAAGTCACTAACGTCTAGTCTGAGCCATGTTGGTAAATGCAGACTACTTGGTTGGGGTCCGCGTGACTATCGTAACCAATGGTTGAAGACTCTTGGTGACATGGCTCAGAATCGATCACAATGGCGTCGGTGTATACACTCCCTGTCTTCCCTTAAACTAAGAGACTAAAATCACTTCATATCTTTCTTTCTACGAACCAATTCTTTCTTCCTATACTATATCCTTATTGCAACCTTTGACCTAACCACTCCTATGAATCCGCTGTTCATCTTGCTGTGCTAATGAGGTATGGCAACCTGGACCGATGCACATATGTGCCTGGTCCTACGTTGTAGCTGACTGACAATGTTACATATAATTGACTATTCTTAAACATAATCTATGCTCTTGGGATTTCTTATTTCTGAATAACGGCAATATACTTTGGTGAGAAAGATGTCTGTATCGTCGAAAATTTGCTATAAAATGGTTTCAAGAACTATTTCAAACAAAAATGCATAATTTAGTCTTGCTTGTAGAACATAAAATGACCCTATAGCTGAAGAATGACTTTTAACGGAACTCAGGTGTTACCTTTTCGTATTAGAGTAATTTGTATTATCTCTTGATAAAATTAATAGGTAAACGTATTTAAAATATGTAACACGCGAGACAAAACCTCTATTTATTACTGTAGAAGTCCTATCTTCAGATAACAATCCCGCCAAGTTTAACAGAGTTATAATCTGCACTATTTTTCTGGGATATAAGATCACCTGTTCTTAGTTAAGCAGTAGCAAAAAGATGAAACTCAGTTGTTCAAGTCTACCATTATTTCTAACACTGTGAATGGCGTTTCACAAGTGGCACTCATAGAGACAATTTTGGATGCATCTGGTATCGACAGGTTGAAAACTTTTAAACTCATCACTAACAATCCAGTCTGTTGAACAATGGTGGACGATGAACTTATTAAATCTAACGAGGAATTTTGGACTTATAAACACTTAACAGTCTATTTCACAGTGATTTAATGGAATAATGCCATGTCCTGCCCACACAACCTGCCAATTTTTTCGGGCTTACTTAAACTGTCCTAAAGAGTGCGTTAAGGTAGGCGGTGGTATAATACATGGGTTAATCGCATTACTTTGTAAAGATTCAAGCATCATTGACCGAGGTTTACCATCTTTGTTTATTATCCTAACCGTACCTCAAGAGATATTCCTGCTCAAAGCAGTGATTTGTTATACTATTAAGTGATGAATTAAAACTCAACTGTTCCGGATACTTTTTCCAGTTTCAACGTAATTGATAGAAACTTAATGATTCATTACTGATTAATTCATCTTAAATCCATTTTAATATCGTTTCAGAAGTATGCTTTTATTTTTATTCACGTTTATTGTAGGCTTAGGAATGAGACCACGCAATGACTTTAAGACGACTTTAATTGCTTACGCTTCGTCTGATCCACAAACATATATGCCATTTGTCCAAGATATACGAACATTTCTTTATTTCTACGAAGAGGTCAATATACAACCACAGGATGGATTTGCAACGTGTGATAAAATTAAATCACCAGATGATGTTGATTTGGTTTGTAAATTTTATCCACATGATATGGGTGTATGTGTTAAAGAGAATAATTTTGGATACGATAGAAGTCAACCATGTGTCATCATGAAAATTAATAAGGTATATCAAAATTATATGTACCTGAAAATATTTTCATTTATTTTCATTTCTACTTGTAAGTAGCTTAGAATTTTATTCTTAAAACTGGGAAACAGATAATGGACGGACCATTCACCAAAGACACAATATTAATTTTCTTCTTAGCGATATAGCATCGATCAGACTCTTTAAAAGTTGACAGAGGAAATAGATAACTCCGATCAATTATTATTAAAGATTTTGAACATTGAATGCACATCCAATTAGTAAACTTACATAAAGTACTTGAGTGCTGATATTTATGTTGAGGGCGTAGATTCCTTCGACTTAAAAACATTGTATGGAAACCATTAATTGAATATTCTTAATGAACAAAAGTCAAAACACTGAGTTTAATGGGACAGTACATATTATTTTCAAGAAACGCCTTATTCAACACTTGTTAGTGTTCTTGAAGACACAAGTCTATCTAAGCTAGACAACGATTGGAAACCTGGAGTGATTGGACAATTTTTCAATCGTAGAATAGGTTACCTAGAAATGGGGACTTACGACCTCGCCACCGTAGGTTGAACCCAAAATTTTTGACTTTGAGCGCTAATACCTAACATGCATTGGAGACTCAACAGCATACATGTCCAACTCCAATCAATCTGCGATATCACGCAACCATCTCTCATTGTCTTTGGTAAATACCTACTGTACATCCAACACGGTTATATTCAACTGGCCACGGCTTCTCATAATAAATCACAAAGTTTCTTTTCGAAGCTACTCACCAGTGATGACATGATTGTTATCAGTATGAGGGTTTGACGGTTGTTGAATTTCATTGAAATCACTAAGTTATATGATAACTAACTCAGTAATTATAACAAACTGGAAAATTGATTGTTTATGTTTCAATTAATCTGTTAAGATAATGACCAAATGTATGCTTTCAGGGTAAATAGTACAGCTTACTTGTTTAAATCTCGGTACTTGAAATGGTGTTCCAACTCATAATATATAGTAAAATATGTAATTAATGACATCACAGTTACTGTCTAAACTTTTTAAGTATTCTAACTTATTTTGGCACGACAATTAGAACCAGTGACTGGAGACTCTCTGTGACATGGATCAGAATCGATCACAATGGTGTAGGTGTATACACTTTTTGTCTTATTTTAAACTATGAGATTAAAACCGCCTCATATCTTTGTTTCTACGAACTAATTCTTTCTCCCTGTATCATATTCTTATTTGCAGTCTTTCTTTTATATATTACTGCCATTGAATTAACTACTATGAATTTCGTGTTCATCTTGTTATGCTAATAAGGTATGAGAACTTGAACCGATGGATATATGTGACTGGTCCCACGTCATAGCTGACTAACTGAACTAATAGACGAACTTCTACTCCTATAGTTCGCTTTGTTTAAAATGACAGCGGAAAAATAATAACTATGTGATTAAGTTCAGTTTGAAATTACTTTGATTATCCTATTGTTGATATTTTGACTAAAATTTAATCATCAGAAGGGTGTTTTTGGCGATTTTATTAATTTCAATAGTTGAAATTATGAGTCAATTGAACCTAGACCACCATGGAAAATTTGAAAGCACTTGACGGCCGTTTCGTCCTAGTATGGCACTCCTCAGCCTTGATTGACATATGTATATCCTATGAGCGTCACCTCGATATGGTCATTATGGCACAAGTTAATAGATGGAATGTAACTAACAGTGAAATCTAAGATTCAGGTACATCCAGCTAACTAGTCTTAAATAGGACGAACCGCGCGTCCTGAATTCCACTGATAACTACATTCTATTATGTATTAATACAATAATTGATTCAATCTATACTTATAGAATAATTTTTCAGCATTACTATTCCATGATAAATATACTGGTGATAATCACTCGTTTTTTTCCGTGATTAATCCACAATATGCGTTATATTTAGTTTAAATTGTTGACTAAATTATATTACTCAGCGTTTCTTTTGACAATGTATGGCATAATATTATAGTGAACAAGAACACGAATGGGGACAATGGAATGTAGTTTGCAAAATATCAATCCATCGTTTCAAACTTGACTGTTTCTGTTGAAAATATCAGTTCATTGTCTCAGATTTCATTGTTCATTCATTTTCATACTAAATGCGCTCCGTTCCCGTTCTTTCCTTATCGATCTTCTACTGAAACACATTTTATGCCTGACCACCGTTATATACTACTTATGTGAATATAAGTAACCCACCCCACAATATTCCTCAATCAGTCTGTGTTCTACGATGACTTATTATTTCTTTCTTAAATACTTGAATTTCAATAAATTGAATTTCTGGTTCAAACTTCTCTTCAAATACTTTAGGCTCAAGTAGTAGACTAGTGTCTCTAGTCGATCATTATTACACGCATAAAATAGAAATCAATTGATGAGTACATATTTTATATCTCATTTATGAATGTCAATTTTATTTCATTTAGGTTTATGGTTGGTTACCTGATATTGTCAATAAAACGTTATCAAATAATCCTCTTGTTAGATGTCATGGTCAAGTGAGTTGAAAAACACTAACCTTTCTTTCAACTAAATCTTTGAAATCTATTTCACCATTTAAAAAATTATTGGTTGCCAACCTGTTAAGTCCAAGTGACCTGATTGAGATACACGCAAAATCGAAGTTCCAAAACAACGATTTGTTTACATTAGCGGTTCTTTATTAAATAATACACAAAACTTAGTTACAAACCTCAACTTGTGAGGTGTCTAGGTGTTTAAACGCGTCCTTCAAGAATGAAAATAACAAAGGCTTCGATAGTACAAAGACCGCCGATAGCTGTGTATAAATTTGATAACAGTTTATGAGCAACCGAAACTCGAACCAAGAGCAAACAATATGGAAACTGTTGCGTTTAAACAAATGCACAAAACTGTGGATAACCGTTACAGTAATTAAAGTACAGTGATTATAATGATAAATACAATGATAAGTACAATAAACGTTAAAGATATTATGTGAACATTTCAGAATGTCACAGTACAACTTGAGTTACAACATAAGTTTGAAAGTTGTCCGGAATACAACTGCTTACTGAATGTAAATAAGTAGTATAAGACAATATACAAAAGAGTAGAAAGGGAACAGGTAGGAACAATGTAAGACAAACTTAACACAACCATTGAAACTAATTTGATTCTTCTATGGTATTTGTTTGATATAACCAACAAGCAGTTATTCATAATCGATACAGGATCTAGAGCAAGTGGATATCAGTTTGAATTACTATACCATATCATCAAGGTGTATTGAACTTACCACAAAAGGAAACTCGTTAGTATTACTTTACGGATAATAAGGTACTTATTATTAAACTGATAATAGAAAAGCCATGATTAGGTCACAAAATCTCTTCTAGTTTTGATCACATAGCTTCAATACTGTTTGTGTGCACTACGGTTGTTGGGTTCACAAAATACCGCTTGGGGATAACGACACGTTGCACATAACCAAGTCATCTGTATATATTGTAGTACTTAGTTTCAGCCAGTGTTACTGATGTTTTTATTATACAGTTCGCAATAATTTTCACAATTTACCTTAGTTAGGAATTATATATAGGGTTTTCATCACAAACTAAAATAAGCTTTAATGTCAAAACTCTATTTAACTAAATGGATGAATGACTTTCGTGCCAAAATCCAAGACCTGTTATCTTAAACCTGATTGGTTCGTCTATAAATTATAGTCTCGCCTAATGTGTTTTCGTAATCTAACAGGATTATACACTTGATTTCATCGGCATAAGAATCCTTCAAAAAAGTTTTAATCTTTCTTACAAAAAAAAATTAACAGTCGAATCCCTACACGTATGGGCAAATTCAAACGGTATTAATAGGAGAGATGGAATACAATTAGCTGTCTCATGGCAACTAATCATTAATAAGTAAACCTGAAGTCTTTATTCCATTTAATCAGTTAATTATTATCTGAATAAAAACAATTACATTCAACTATTCTAATCAGTTGTCTTATCTGATACTGCTTATACTCTATGGGATTTGAATCGACAACTGCATCTCTGTGCTAATATGATATGGCAACTCGAACTGATGTACGTAATTACGAAGCTCTACGTAGTTACTTACTTACTGACTGACTGACTTTGTTATCTGAATATATCATGAACAATTAAGTGAGACAGCAAAATAACTAAAACATTCATTCCTTCATTTTTATTTTACTTCTTTAACTATGTTTTATGCATTCTGTAACATGTCTTATTCATATCATATATAAACGCTGCATGTTTTCTTATATAGTCACTTATCAGAGGCGATAATTAGTTGATGAAATTTCTTCTCATATCTCAGATTCACCTACGAATACACACAATCTGTTACCCTAAAACACTTTTCGTTTCATACCACAAGTCTCTTACATGCAAAAAGCAATACCTACTTTAAACATTATTAAAGTTAATTGGAAGACCTGTTTAGTATACAGTTAACCAGAGGACCATAAACCTGGTTTATATTCGATAATTTTGATGTTTGATTATATTTTCTTGAACTAGATTGCCAAAAAAAACGTTGAATTTACTTCAAATTCATTTGCTGAGATTTTACAAATACAACATTCTTCTTCATCTTTAATGTCTCACATCAACTCGCTGCCGAAATACTGTGTAACTATTCGATCAAATTTAGACGAAAGTTTTTATACAATTATTACTTATGTCACTGCATCACTGACCGTAAAATATATCTTTTCCACTGCAGCTTTCTCTCGATCTATTTCTGTAACAAGTCAGTCAGTCAGCTACAACGTAGGACCAGACACATATATGCATCGGTCCAAGTTGCCATACCTCATTAACACAACAAGATGGACACCGGATTCATAAAGGTAGTTAATTCAGAGGTGATAATATATAAAAGAAAGATTTCAATAAGGATATAATACAGGAAGAAAGAATTATTTCGTAGAAAGGAAGATATGAGGCGATTTTAATCTCTTAGTTTAAAGGAAGACAGAGTGTATACACCGACGCCATTGTGATCGATTCTGAGCCATGTCACCAAGAGTCTACAACCATTGACTACGATAGTCACGCGGACCCCAACCAAGTAGTCTGCATCTACCAACATGGCTCAGACTAGAAGTTAGTGACTTCAAGCACTGATGCCACGTTTTGGTTTGGCCGCCCTTAACTTTCTTCTAACCATCCCCAACACCGATTAGCATTGCACGTCTGTAACAAATATAATGATGTATCATGGTAGGCGGTAACTAATCATGAATAATATAAGTTTCAAAAAATTACATCGCTCAAGGTTTACAGCCTCATCAAAAACACTGTACTTAATCTTAACGTTACTGACTGTCTAGATGGTTCCATCAAGTCTTTAACCAAGTTTGCTAAATCACAAAGTAATTTCTTATAAAACTGAAAGTCAATTATCACTAGAATTCTCAACTTCTAATTGTCCATCTAATAGAGTAGAAGACACTGGTAAGCTATTAGTATTTGACCACAGATGCCTTAGAAATATTGCTGGCATCTGTTGGGATCACCGGGTAAGTAATAGCGAGGTTAGACGCAGGGTATTAGGAAATGATGGTAAATTAGTTGATGAGGTTATGAATCTTCATCGACTGAGATGGTTGGGCCACGTGTTACGTATGCCTGAACACCGATTACCACGACGTGCAATGCTATCCGGTATTGGAAATGGTTGGAAGAAAGTTAGGGGCGGCCAAACCAAAACGTGGCATCAGTGCTTGAAGTCACTAACTTCTAGTCTGAGCCATGTTGGTAGATGCAGACTACTTGGTTGGGGTCCGCGTGACTATCGTAACCAATGGTTGTAGACTCTTGGTGACATGGCTCAGAATCGATCACAATGGCGTCGGTGTATACACTCCCTGTCTTCCCTTAAACTATGAGATTAAAATCGCTTCATATCTTTCTTTCTACGAACCAATACTTTCTTCTTGTACTATATCTCTATATGCAATCTTTCTCTTATATATTACTACCTTTGACCTAACCACTGCTATGAATCCGGTGTTCATCTTGTTGTGCTGATGCGGTATGGCAACCTGGACCGATGCACATATGTGCCTGGTCCTACGTTGTAGCTGACTGACTGACCATCTAATAAACTGAGCTTACTAACCTTGGTTGACATACAAGATGTACGAAACACTCGATGTTCATAGTTTCATCAAATCGTCTATAGAATTAAATGAAATGTAACTTTAATAACCTTTGCTTTTTGATGTCATTATCGCTTATTTTCCTAATCAATTCTTATCTACAGAATCCTCAAGATCTGGAAAATTTTGGTCAAGTACTTTATTTTCCTAATATTACTGTTGATGGAAAAACTTAGTAAGTTCATTTGTATTTTAATTAATTCTATTACATATATTTGTAAAGAAGGCAATAGGCAAAAGAAATGACTGTTTATTGTGATGTACTGGAATTCTTCACATTGACGATTGTTGCAACTTCAACAACACGTTCCTCCACATACTACTTACAATCATGCTTGTAAGTAGCTTCAACTACCATATATGTATATATATATATATATATATATATATATATATATATATATATATATATATATATATATAGATGAGACGAAATACTGTAGTTAGTCCCTATAATCAATAATCTATTTTTATTTGTTATTCGAATTTACAATCATTTTGTTTTCTTGAAATTAGGATTCTACATGAAAATGTTTATTAATTAAAAAAACAAAATGACAAAAACGTCTTATTAAGTTACTGGGTGGAACTCGATCGATTGTTAATATTTTAAGCTTTTGATCTATGAGTTAGAAAATTCTATGCTTTCAATTTCGATTAAGCTTACCATGTAGTCTGATTCAAGTGTGTCAAAGTATTTGATTGAGATCATGAACCGATTGATATTAGACCACCATTGAAAACCTGGAAGCATTGGATGGCTGTTTCGTCCTATTGTGAGACTTCTTAGCAGTGCACATCCATGATCCCGCCAGCGGGATTCGAATCCAGTGCCTTCGGTCTTAAGCGTGAACGCTTAATCTCTAGACTACTGAGCCAGTGTCCAACGGTGTTAATGTTTAATCTCTACTAATCCACGTAATTGCATAATCATCTCCCATTGTACTGAGGTCTATATCTGTTTCTACCTAACATGGATTAGCTCCACTGGTCACGGCTTCTCATTAGAACTCCGAGAATTCCCTCACGAAGCTAGTCACTAGTGAGTACATGATATTAAAATAGTCAACTTTAATAATGAGGTAGCAATGCTATCCGGTATTGGGAATGGTTGGAAGAAAGTTAGGGGCGGCCAAACCAAAACGTGGCATCAGTGCCTGAAGTCACTAACTTCTAGTCTGAGCCATGTTGGTAGATGCAGACTACTTGGTTGGGGTCCGCGTGACTATCGTAACCAATGGTTGGAGACTCTTGGTGACATGGCTCAGAATCGATCACAATGTCTTAGCTTTATACAGTCTCTGTCTTCCCTTAAACTATGAGATTAAAATCGCTTTATATCTTTCTTTCTACGAACTAATTCTTTCTTCCTATACTATATCCTTATATGCAATCTTTATTTTATATATTACTACCTTTGACCTAACCACTGCTATGAATCCGGTGTTCATCTTGTTGTGCTGATGCGGTATGGCAACCTGGACCGATGCACATATGTGCCTGGTCCTACGTTGTCCCTGACTGACTGAATAATGAGGTTCCACGTTGTTTATTCTCGTTTAGACAAATGGATAGTTTCACTACCTTTTACGTTAATTTCATGACTTAATTACCGAGCAGTATTAAGTTCAATAAGTTGAGACTTCTGTTAATATGAAGTTTGTTTTATATCCCCTAGCTCCAATAATTTCTAAATGATGCAGAAAATGTGTAATTTAGGCAGATATTTGAGATTTATTTGTATTAGTTGTTTACATCTTCCTGTTCATTCAATGAACTACAAGTGACCACTCTTTTTCAGCATATGTACATCATATACTGTTAGCCTTGATATCCCCATTTTGGATAAATTTCTATAGTATCTAGTAATGGAGTACAAGACATGTGTTTCGTTCTGTTTGAAACTTGTTAGCTGAATTTGCCTTCATCCTGATTTTGTTTTTCACATTAAGATATGAACCCAGAACCATTCACTTCATACGTATAAACCATTATCTACTTAATTACTCAGTTGAAATAGCCATTGGTTTGTGCAACGGGACAAAATTTAATTCATTTATGTTGATTGTTTGAATCTTCTCATTTATGTTATAGAGTGCAATTGATGAGTATCTTTAGAAATGGTATATTAATAAGGAAATTGAAAGATTTAGATAAATTAGTAACTAAATATATGCTTAAGGTATTACATATCGTTAAGTGAAACAATATGGAATGATCTAATCCTGCTGATTATACAGTCTAACATTTTGCAAGACACGAATGAACTGAATACCTGTTTTGTATGAGAATAAGGTGTTTCAAAGTAGTCGTATTGAATGTGATATTCTAACAAGTTATTCTCAGAGCTATTCAATCTATGCTCTAATAGTCACGAATGGATAAGGATTCAAGACAGGGAACATAGAGAACTCGCTTGGATATATTGTATTGAAATTGGGATTCTTTGGTTTAGATATTTACAAAACAATAATAATTTTTACAAACACTATAATATTATTGGTAAATTAACATTTTTTCGAGCTAGATAATTTAGTCACAGAGTTCGATATCCGTCTATCAACCAAAGGACGTGTTTACTGTGCAGCAGTTCGTTCCGTCCTGCTTTATGGCAGTGAAACATGGCCGGTAAGAGTAGAGGTTATCCGTTGGTTACTAGTATTTGATTATAGGTGTCTTCGAAATATTGCTCGTGTATCCTGGGACCATCGAGTAAGTAATGCAGTTGTTAGGAAACGGGTACTAGGTAAGGATGGTAAATCAATTGATGACGTAGTGAAACTTCATCAATTGAGATTGCTGGGACACGTGTTACGTGTGCCCAACGACCGACTGCCCCGACGTGCGGTGTTTCCTGATGTAGGAGTAGGTTGGAAGAAAGCTAGGGGCGGCCAGACCAAAACATGGCACAAGTCCATGAAGTCACTGACAAGTAGACTGAGTCATATTGGTAGGTGTAGACTACCTGGTTGGGGACCGCGAGATGATACCAACCGATGGTTAGAAACCTTGAATGAAATGGCTCAAAATCGTTTGCAATGGCGCAGGTGCATCCACTCTTTGTGTTCTCCCAAATTCTAATCTTCTGACTTCTTCATGTCCCTTTCTTTTTTCTCTTTCCAAATCTATTTCACTGGATTATACTCCTTGAATAACATCATCAAACCCTAATTTTTCTGACTACAGCTTATAATTTTACTACAATCTAGCACTACGGGATTTGAATTGACCACTGCTTCTCTGTGCTAATGTGGTGTGGCAACTCGAACTGATGTACGTACGTACGAAGTTCTACGTTGTTACTGACTGACTGAGTCACAGAGTTCTTATCTCTTTAAACAGTGGAATCCAATCCTTGTCGAGTAGATTCAGGTACCTACCTCAGACGATGGATTAATGGTTGCGCAAGACCATGGATCGATCGAAGTTAGATATCAACATCGTTGGATGCTGGCTCAGTGGTCTTGAGGTTAAGCGTTCTTGCACGAGATCGTGGATGCTCACTGTTGAGGAGTCCCACAATAGGACGAAACAGCCATCCAATGCTTCCAAGTTTTCTATGGTGGTTTAGCTTTAACCTACTCATGAATTCAACTATTAAAATTACTACAATCTCCTCCAAACCTCATTCTGATCTTAAACAGTATTATCAGCACCAACTTGTAATGAAAATGTTCTTTTAAGAATTTGTCGAAAAAAACGGTTCACATGTTGATTTTGTTTATCTGACGCACAATATAGAAACAACCCATGTGACATAGGTAGGTCGATGATCTGTATTAGCCGTTAGTATTGTAAATTGTATATTATATATGAGATGAATTACCACTACTGAATGGTTGAGACTTGGTAATTTTGATACATTGGATTCATCTTATAGTTTACAAAGATATTTCATTGGAAGAAATCATTCTATTGTCAAAAAATAAGCCCTTGATCTTATATAAAGATTGAATAAGATGAAATTAATTAAGCAACGACATAATCTCATGAAGATACAGATGTTTATTAACAGCTTTCTACGCAAAATACCTCGGATCCGTTGGCCGGACACTATTAACAACAACCAACTGTGGGAAAGAACAAACCAGATCCCAACGGAGGAAGAAATTAGGAAGAAGCGCTGGAAGTGGATAGGATATACATTGAGGAAAGCACCCAACTGCGTCACAAGGCAAGCCCTCACATGGAATCCTCAAGGGCAAAGGAGGAGAGGAAGGCCAAAGAACACATTAGACCGGGAAATGGAGATAGAGATGAGAAAAATGAACAAGAATTGGATGGAAATAGAAAAGAAGGCCCAGGACAGAGTGGGTTAGAGAATGCTGGTCGGCGGCCTATACTTCATTAGGAGTAACAGGCGTAAGTAAGTGAGAAAGTAATAATCTCATGAAGTAATTTATGTTTCTTGTTTATTCATGAAATGTATGTATTAATTGTTTCTGTTTTGTTTTTGTTTTTTTTCTATTATTTTGATTGTTTGTTCAGCGGTTACTTTAGTCATTTATACTTTCCATATCTTATGCAAGTAGCTTATCGTTCACCGCTTGTTGCTGTACAATTTGCAAGTCCTAAACGTCATGTCCTTTTAATGGTACGCTGTGAATTATTTAATGTACGTAATCCTGGTGATCCAATGGATTTTGAAATTTTAGTAGATTGATTAATTCATAAACTGTATTGTACTTATGACTTTTTTCTTTTGCTTTTTTTTTCTTTTTTTTCTTCCGGTTTATTTGTTTATCCAAGTCAGTTTATCTATCCATCTGTCTGTCTATCTATCTATCTATCTGATGCCTGTCTATCTATCTTTCCACGTTTATGTCTGTTTACTTAACTATCTATTTAATTTATACGAAAAATAAAGGAAAATGTAACCGAATATTTTTGTTTCTTATTGATGATACTCATTACGTTTCCATGTTAGTTTATTTTGTACAGGCAATTTTCTTTTTCTAAAAAGAAGAAAATAGAAAAAAATATTTTATTCCGGTATTCGTTAGTTTATTTTTTATATGATCAAACGTGAAATAACGTCAACAGTTCTCATCACTGACTTACTTACTTACTTACGCCTGTCACTCTTCGTGAAGGAGCATAGGCTGCTGACCAGCATTCTCCAACCTACTCTGTTCTGGGTCTTCCTTTCTAGTTCTATCCAATTTTTGTTCATTTTTCTCATGTCTGTCTCCCTTTCTCAGCGTAATGTATTCTTTGATCTTCCTGTTTTCCTTTATTAAACCTTAAGGATTCTATGTAGGGGTTTGCTTTGTGACGCAGTTGGGTGCTTTCCTCAATGTGTGTCCTATCCACTTCCAACGCTTCTTCCTGATTTGTTCTTTCGCTAAGATCTGGTTTGTTCCCTCTCACAGTAGGTTGTTAATGATAGTGTCTGGTCAACGGATCCGAAGTATTTTGCGTAGACAACTGTTAATAAACACTTCTTTCGTAGTTCTCCAGGTTTCTGTCCAATACAGTGTAACTGTCTTGGCATTTTTATTGAAAATTCTGATTTTAGTGTTAGTTGACAGATTTTCTTCAATTGTAGATATGTTGCTCTTCATCATCACTGTTTGATATCATTATTAACAGATGCATGAAATCGGTTATTTATTTATATGGAAATGAAAACTATGGATCTAGATAGATTAAAATATTGGTTAGCGTAAAGTAACTAGATCTAATGATTAATATATTTTATCGGACTTATTGTGTAATCCGTAAGTGATTACACATTTTTACAATGCTAATATAGTTGAGGCAGCAGAGTGTATTGTCGGTAATTAACTTATTCATATGTCCAAGTTCATTGTACGCATTTCTCTTTTTGGATCATTTTGACAACCTACATACTCTTTTGAGTTGTAAGTGTTGTATTGCCAGTCAGTGGTGTTAAGTGCTATTGGAAGTACGAGGGTAGTTATCACTTCCCGGTTGCCCACACCGTGGAACGGTTCTTCTGGAGCTCATATACCTTATTCTAGCTTTCGGGTTTCCCGAAAATTCTAGAATGCCACTAAACATAGTAGCAGTATAGTAATCAGACAATTGGAAACTCTACATGTGACTTTTCACTTTCTTGATGTTTCCACTGAACACTGATTGGATAAAATGCTTTTTAATGCTTCCTGATCTTTTCTTGTCTTTTGCGAGAAGGTTTCTGGATCAGCCCAACAACAGCATAAGTAAATGATTTCGTTGAAAAAATTTTTTCTTAACTAAATTCATTCACTCCTCATAACATCATCATTCCAATGTAACGTCACATTATTGTCGATTATCAATTGTTTTAATAAAGACTATACAATTCTTCACAATGTTAAGGGCGATATTCGGAAGATAATTGAATTATATATATTCAAGAGAACTTGGTAAAATACTTGATGCGTAAACGGGTGTTTGTAGTTAAGAGGTACCGGCCTATAATTTTCACTAATGAGAACGGTGAATTATCTTGCTTACGGTAGTTTGTGAGGCCCTTTATTTTGATGTCAACTAAATCGAACGATGTTGTCGACGAGCTTACCACTTTTGTAGCCCGGGATCTGACTCCAGTGATATCGTATGATTGATTGTTGAAATAAACATCCCGACTATTCTAGTAAAAAATTATCGACTTAAATCGCGTTAGTGTATAACGAAATTAAATAAGTCAAATAGTAGTTTTGAATATATATATTGTACACTCACTGATCTGGATAGAAATCCAAAGGGATGAAGCGAAATTACGCGCTATTGAGAAATCATGTGAGCCAACTCCGTTTGACCAATAGTTAATAAAAATAATCTACGGACATGCGGTAAGTAGGATGTGAAATGCATACACATAATACGCTCATATACATACAGACGAGGTTGGAATCAGGGTCTTCCAACTCCCCTAGGTGAAAACTCAGTGTCCATCAAGCTGGTTATAGCGCCGGACATTCGCTTTTCGTTCTCTCAATTTCGTAAACAACAGTAATGCCGCGAGAAGGCAGTTAGTAGGATTTCCCTGGCAGAGGCTATATACGCGTGGCCATGTGAGAGCATTTGGAGAGGGTGAGCGGACTTTCACCACTCTCGGCCGTACCAGGGCATTCAACTCGTATAAGCTGAATAAAGCAATAAAAAGGTTTCAAATAGACTTCTCCACATGCTCATCGTGCTGAGATATGAACTGTCAATCATAAGCAACATATATGTTTCGAATGAATCAAAATTACTCTAAACACTGTGATGTTATTTAAAACACTGAATGATGAATTTCACATTTAATATTACAAAGGGAGTTGTAGATTTACTAATTATAAGTGGAAAAAACATAGAATAATCAATATGATGCTTTAGACAAATTCTCACGCGTAAAAGTTGACTTGAACATGGTCGTTGTAAAGGAATTAAATGGCTATAATTTGAAGTTGGACATTAACATCGTTGGATGTCGACCAGTTCAGTGGTCTATTGGTAAGGCGTTCGCATGTGAAATCGATAGGTCCTGTGTTTAAATCTTGCGAGGCGTAATCGTGTATGCGCACAGTTCAAAAGTCCCACAGTAAGACGAGACGGCCATCCAGTGCTTTCAAGTTTTCCACAGTGGTCTAGCTTAAAATGATTCATGATCTCAACTATTAAAATTACTATAATATCCACCAAACCCCTTCTGATACTAACATTTAGTAGTTCAATTTTAAGTAATAAATAGCTGCTATGATATCAAATAGCAAAGGATTTATTTCATATCAATATTAGCCTATTATACTAAAGTTATTCTTAAAGAATAAATTGACTGTGATTGGTAGTGAGCTCATCAACTGGATAAACCTGTATCTAAGCTCGAGACTGTAATCCAGTTATCCTTCGCATTGAATTTCAAAATTTTACTCACTAAATTATTGAGTTCAGACAGCCACCAGCTTGTTTAAGAGGTTTGATTCAGTCGTGAATTTTAATCACTCTTAGTTGGTGACTTAAACGAGGATTCACCCATTCGAACATTAATATAATGACATAAATCTGTCAGGTATTTGTCACCAAATAATCTAATAAAGAAAATAGTCACAAAGTGATATATTAGCTAAACGATTTTTCACAATGAAGTGTAAAATGAACAATTAATTCTACAAGTGGTTAATTTGAATTTCGACTACACCCTTATACAAACAATTAACCAATGACATTAGTTATGTTAAACAATCAATTATAAGAAATTCAAAAAAAACAACTCAATCATTACCCTGTTTTTTTTTCTCTTTAATCTCCATATTCATAATGTCTCTACAGTAGCAACATATTCAATGATGATAAGACTTCCAATGATACTACTTATATTAGTAGTTTACACAATTCAATGTCATAGTATTAGTTTCCATGATCTATTAACATATTTCACTTCATCTAAATGTGGTTATGAATCATGTGACATGGGAAAACCAGGATATCTTAATATTCATTTAATACCGCATACACATGATGATGTTGGCTGGTTAAAAACAGTTGATCAATATTATTATGGTGCTAATAGCACAATTCAACGTGCTGGTGTACAATACATTTTAGATAGTGTTATCTCGGCTTTAGCTCATCATCCACATCGTAAATTTACTTATGTTGAAATAGTTTATTTTTATAAATGGTGGTTAGTACAATCAAATGAAATAAAACATTTAGTGAAAGAACTAGTTCAATCTGGACAATTACAATTTGCTTTAGGTGGTTGGAGTATGGCAGATGAAGCAACTGTTTATTATTCTGATGCAATTGATCAATTAACTTATGGACATATTATATTAAAACAATTATTTGATGAATGTGGACGTCCATTAGTTGCATGGCAAATTGATCCATTTGGACATTCACGTGATCATTCTGATTTATTTCAAGATGCCGGTTTTGATGCTGTCTATTTTCAACGTATAGATTATCGTGAAAAACAAGCACGTAAACGATTAAAACAATTAGAAGTTCTATGGGATACTACTACTACTACTAATATAAATAATAGTAGTTTATATGGTTTATTTACTGGAATGTTTTATGATACTTATTGTTATCCACCTAATTTAGAATTAGATGATAACTATCCAGATAATACAATTGTAGATAATCCATATATTCCAGAATATAATGTTGATAGTATTGTAAAGAAATTTATAGACTATATTCATATGATATCTAAAGCATATCAAACGAATCATATAATGGTTTTAATGGGTTGTGATTTTACATATGAGAATGCTCATTTCAATTATAATAATATGGATAAATTAATTAAGTATGTGAATCAACAACAATTACATGGGAGTAAGATTAATTTATTCTATTCTACACCAGCATGTTATACAAAAGCAGTGAATGAAGAATTCCATCGAATTGGTACAATCAATCGTCGTAGTGGTGATTTCTTTCCATATGCTAGTGGTCCACATTCATATTGGACAGGTTATTATACAAGTCGACCAGCATTAAAATATTATGTACGTCAAGCATCAAATTTATTATCAATGTGTGAACAAGTAAGTACTAATATTATTGTATTAACATATTTCAGAATTATCTATTCATTACGATTTCTTTGAAGATTAGGATTAAATAGGGTTGATATGTCATTCAATCAGCTACAACGTAGGATCAGGCACATATATGCATTGGTACAAGTTGCCATACCGCATTAGCACAACAAGATGAACACCGGATTCATAGGAGTAGTTAAGTCATTGGTGCTCCTTTTAAGACAAGAAAGACCACCATTGTCGGACGCCCATAAGTATAATTGTGTTCTAGAACCTGACAAATGGTGAATATGTGGTCGATGCATCCACAACCAGAACTAAAGTCAGCTTGATTCCCTCGTGTTTGCAATTCAAGAGTCTTAGTTAGACGTCCGATAATTATCGATGTAAGAGGAATAATAGGAATTGAATCGAGAGGTTGATTATGAATACAGTGATTTTGAGTGCTGTTAGAAGTATGACGGTGGTTTTTACTTCCCGGTTGCCCATACCATGGAAGGTTTT